CAGACTCAGAATGACTAGAAAGAAGGAGAAACAGACTACTTCTGAATGTCTAGTCACAGAAAACCTTAACAGTAGCAGTGGAATATTGTCAGATATTGAAACATGATGAAGAACACCAGAATATTGTCAAATATAGTGCCAGACGATGAGCCCCTCAGGTTGAAAGGGACTCAAAACACCACTGGGGAAGAGCTGCCTCCTCAGAGTAGAGTTGACCATGATGATGTGAATGGAATAAAGCTTTCAGGACCTTCATTTACTGATGGGCATAACTCAAAATGAGGAGAAACCTCTGTAAACAATCATTAATAATCGGAACTTGAAATGTACGAAGTATGAATCAAGGAAAATTGGAAATTGTCAGAAATGAAATGGAAACATCAATTTTCTAGACATTAGTAAACTGAAATGGACTGATACTGGCCATTTTGAATCTGACATTCACATGATTTACTATGACAGTAATGACAAATTGAAGAGGAATGGCATCACATTCATCATCAAAAAGAACATTTCAAGATCTATCTTGGAGTATAATGCTGTGATAGGACAATATCCAAATGCATACAAGAAGACCAGGAGCTCTGGTAGCATAGTGGTTACAAATTGGGCTGCTGACCTCATAGTCAGCAGTTCAAAACTACCAGCTATTGCACAGGAGAAATATGAGGCTTTATGCTCCCGTAAAGATTTACAACCTTGGAAACCCTGTACAGGATCACTATGAGTCAGGACCAACTCCACGGCACATAACAACAACAAGAAGACCAGTTAATACCACTATTATTCAAATTTACACACCAAACAATAAAGCCAATGACAATGAAACTGAAGAATTCAACAGAAAGATGTTTTATTGGATGCAAAAAGGCTTACAATTGTGTGTCTCATGACAACCTATGGACAATATTGTGGGTATTGAGTATTCCAGAACACTTAATTGTGCTCACAAGGAACCTGTATATAGAGCAAGAGGCAGTCGATAAAACAGAGCAAGGGGACATGGAGTGGTTTAATATTAGGAAAGGTTTGTGCCAAGGTTGTATTTGCACACCATACTTTTTAAATGTGTACACTGAGCAAATAATCTGAGAAGCTAGATTATATGAAGAAGAATGTGGTATCAGGGTTGGAGGAAAACGCATAAGCAAACCTGCAATATGCAGATGACAAAACTTTTCTTGCTGAAAGTGAAGAGGACTTAAACTACTTACTGATAAACACCTCAGACTTCAATATGCATTGCCCCTCAATGTAAAGGAAACAAGAATCTTCACCACTGGACCAATAAATAGCATCATGATCAATGTACAAAAGATTGAAGTTGTCAAAAACTTCATTTTGCTTGTATCCACACTACCAACACTCATGGAAGCAGCAGTTAAGAATAAAACAACATATTGCATTAGGCAAATCTGCTGAACTCTTTAAAGTGTTCAAGAACAAAGATGACAGTTTAAGGATTAAGGTTCTCCTGGCCCAAGCCAGGGTATTTTCCATAGCTTCATATGCATGGGCAAGTTGGATAGTGAATAAGGAAGGCCGCAGGAGAATTGATGCATTTGAGTTAACAGGAGGGACCAAGTGAAGGACATCATGCTAGGTAAAGTGAAGGATCAGCAAAAATGAGGAAGACCCCCCAACCATACGGGTTGGCAATGGTTTCAAGCTTAACAGTGACTGTGCGAATGGTGCAGGACCAGACACTGTTACGTTCTGTTGTACATAAGGTCCCTGTGAGTCTGAACCTACTCAATGGCACCTAATCACAAGAGCAAAATGAATTTTAAAATAATTCAGGAGTCTGTCTTAGTTATCTAGTGCTGCTAGAATAGAGATACTACAAGAGGAAGGCTTTCACAAACAGAAATTTATTTTCTCACAGTGTATGAGGAGAGAAGCTCAAATTCAGGGCCTCTGCTCTAGGGGAGGGCTATGTCTCTATGTCAGTTTAAAGGAAAGATACTTGTCTCATTCCCTTCAGTTTCCTGGTTCCTTGGATGTCTCCATGTGGTTTGGCTTCACTCTTCCTCCATCTCTCCTCAGTTTCCTTGTTTAATCTCTTTTACATCTCAGAAGAGATTGACTCAAGGTATGTTGTTGTTGTTGTCAGGTGCCATCGAGTCAGAACCGACTCATAGCGACCCCATGCACAGCAGAACGAAACAATGTCCA